GGCATAGTTTGGGGGAAAAAAGAAAATCTATAGTACAGTATGCCATTTATTTACTGATTTGTATATTAAGTGGGAAGCTAGTTTTTATTCTTTTTGTGTTCGGGTTGGTTTTTATTTTACAAGGCAAGATACACAAGAAAAATGATTATAGTATAGTTAATGACTGACGTCCATAGCAGGCCAGGGAGAGAGAATAGTTCTCCCACACGGAATTGGGTGGGGTCTTAAAGGATGAGCTTGTTAGAGAATGGGAGTGGGGCAACTCCTGCCAGAAGAAACATGTACATCCAGGACATAAATTCATGGCGTGTGTCAGGAATAATTAGTATTACAGTTTGACAGTATACATTACCTGGCAGGGAGTATTGTGTACAGAAACCTGAAAAGATAAAGTTGAGGCTACCTCCTCCATACTTATACCAAATTAAAAGTTGGGTGGTTTTGTTTTGTTTTTCCTTTTCATAAATTAGGTCTGGAAAGTCATTGAGGAAATCCCTTTAAACGGGGATGACATGACTAGATTTTTACATGACATCACCAAAGTAGCTCTGTCCAGTAGAAACACAATGCAAACTACAAATGCAGCAACATAGTAATTTTAAGTGTTCTACTAGCCACAATTAAAAAGTAAAAAGAAACAGGTAAGATTAATTTTAATTATATATTTTACTAACCCCAGTGTATCCAAAATAGTTGTTTCAACAAGTAATACCAACAAATATCAGTGAGGTGTTTTACATTTTTTATGCTAAACCTGTGTAATCCATTATATATTTTACATTTACAGCCATCTCAATTCAGACTGTTTTTAAAGTGCTTAATAGCCACATGTAGCTTGTGGCTACCTTACTAGACACTGCAGCTTTAGAGAGCACACTATAGAAGATGAATGGTGATAACAGTGAGTTTAGAAATTAGGAAGATTCTGTTGGGTTAGTTCCAGTGAAAAATGGTGATGGCCTGAACAGAATTATTGGTGGGAGTGATGAGGACAAGTAGACAGAGCTTTTAGAAAAGTGGCATCGTATTCTTTGTAATCTGCAACATTTTTTCCCTCAGCATTTAATGTCTGTGATTTATCTATGTTGAAGTGAGTAGCTGTAGTTAATATGTCTATATTACTGTATAACTTCCCATTGTAAGTATATATTGGGGAATATACTTACTACCATATTGTATTCATTTTCCTATTGCTTCCCTTTCTCCATATTTTGATATAAACAATGTCACTATGAACATTCTTATGCATGTCCTATAGTACATGAGCACGAGTTTTTCTTAGATCTAAATAGACACTAATCCTTTGTGACATTATTGCAAATACTTTCATCTAGTCTGTAGTTTGCTTTATGTTCAAAAGCTGACTTTTGATTTTAAAAAATTCTTTCTGTAACTGAGTTTAACAAGCTGTAACCATAATGGTTTTTTTAAAAAAAATTAAGAGATTCTTTCCTTCTCTGTGGTTACAGACTTTCTTTTATATTGTCTTTAAAATTTTTAAAGACTTTTTACATTTAAGTATCTAGTCCATCTGGATTTTTTATTGAACAGTCCTTCCTTACATTAATTATCCATTGCTACATAGCAAATTAGTCACACTTAGCATTTAAAATAATAGACATTTATTATCTCACCATTTCTGCGGGTCAGGAATATAGGAGCAGCTTAGTTAAGTGGTTCTGGCTCAGGGTCTCCCACAAGGTTGCAGTCAAAACCCCACACTCCTTTCCTTGGTGATCTGTCTGCAGTGCCAGCTCTGTTAGATATAATTTGTCATACACACAAGTCTGTTTTCTGGCCTCTTCTATTCCATTGGTTTAATTTGTATGTTCCTTCCACCCCACCCCGTCCTAAACATGAGCATGTGCCCATAACTTATTTCCAGGCCTTCTGTTTTCAGCTCTGAATTTATACACAGTTATGCCCAGAAAGTAATCATTCTTCTATCTTCACCTAGTAACTTTTAACTGAAGATTCCGTACTCTGCTGGACATTGCCTCAGACTCTTTATATCTGTAACCAGATTCCATTTCTTGTATTTCTTTTTGAGGGGGGAAAAAAAATCCCTTATTAAGTATATATGATGGTTATGTCTGAATTCAAGGCGCTGGATCCATGGAAGGCACTATACCTCTGTTCCACAGCGTAGGCTTTGATATAAGATCTGCACTAGATGTATTTGCTGGATATCTGTGACCTTGAGCAAAACAAAGTACCTGCCCTCTTTGAATTTGCATTTTAGGGAAAAACAGACAAATAAGTACTGTTGGGCAGTGGTAGTTACAAATGGAGGAAAAATAGAGCAGCATAAAGGCAATAGGCAGTGTGGAGTTGGGGACACTTACTTAATATAGTGTGGTTAGGGAAAGGTCTCTCTGATAAGGTCATATCGTAAGAGTGAGCTGTGAAGTAGGAAGTGAACCATGTACTGTAGTTCCCCCTTAGCTGCAGGGAAGATGGTCCAAGACACCCAGTGGATGCCTGAAAGCATGGATAACATCAAACCTTACATATGGTGTGCTTTTTCTTATACATACATGTCTTCGATAAGGTTTAATTTATAAATTTGGCACAGTAAGAGATTAACAACTATAATAATAGAACAATTACAACCATATACTATATAATAAAAGTTATGCGAATGTGGTCTTTCTCAAAATGTATTATTGGACTGTACTCACCCTTTTCTTGTAATTATGTGAGATAATGCAGTATATATGTGATAAAATGAAATGAGGTGAATGACGTAGGCATTGTGATGGAATCTTAGGCTACTGCTGACCGTCTGACTATGTGTTACAAGTACTCTGCGGCTTCTCTTTGACATTCATATTGCCAGCATCACCGCTCCTGAGTTTTGGGGCGATTGTTAAGTAACAAGGGTTACTTGAACACCCATCTCACTGTGATACCAGAATCCGATAACCAACTAGGTTAATAGGTGTCCGATGGATAGGTAGCAGATACAGTGAGAATACCCTGAATGGAGAGAATGGTTCACATCCCAGGCAGAGCATGATGGTACAAGATTTCATCACACTACTTAGAATGGTATGCAATTTAAAACTTATGAATTGTTTGTTCATGGAATTTTCCACTTAATATTTTCTGACTGTGGTAGACCATGGGTAACCATGGGTAACTGAAACCACAGAAAAGGAGGGGCTACTTTATTGCAGGCAGAGAGAATATCAATTACAAAGGCAGTGGAGGAGGAGTTTATTCCACATCTTTAAGGAATAGTAAGAGGACCATTTTATGTAGAGGTTTGGCAGAGGAAAAGTAGCAACACGAGGTCAGAAATATTAAGGGAGGAAACCATTATATGAACTTTGGTTTTTATTCAGAGACAACTCAGAAGGTATTGGAGAGTTTTGAGCAGAGGATAAAATTTTCTGCCTTTTAATTTTTAAAAATTACTCTGGCTGATACATTGATAATAGACTGAAGCAGGGGCAAGGACAGGAGCAGGATCAATTTAGAACCTTTTAGTGTATAATTTAGGCAAGAGGCAATAGTGGTTTAGAACAGGATGTTGTGATGGTGGTGGTAAGAAGTGATCTGATTCCATATGTATACTTTTTTATTTTTTTAATCCTCACCTAAGGAGCCCTGACTGGTGTGACTCAATTGGTTGGGTGTCATCCTGGAAAGCAAAAGGTCACTGGTTCAATTCCCGATCAGGGCACATGCCTGAGTTGCAGGTTTTGTCTCCAGTCGGGGTATGTACTATAGGCAGCCAATTAATGTTTCTCTCTCACATTGATGTTTCTCTCCTCTCATTTTCCCTCATTTCCCCCTCTCTAAAAATAAATAAATAAAAACTTTTTTTAAAAACCCTCTCCCAAAGATATGTTTTATTGATTTTAGAGATGGTGGGAGAGAGAAAAGCATCGACCAGTTGCCTCCCATAGGTGCCCCAGCCCATGATCAAACCCACAGTCTAGGTTTGTGCCCTGACCAGGAATCAAACTCACAACTTTTTGGTGTATGGGATGATGCTCCAACCAACTGTGCCACCCCTCCAGGGCCCAAGTATATTTTTAAAGAGAGCCATCAGTATTTGCTGAAAGATTGATCTCTTGGTCACTACATCATATCTGGGTTTCTTTTGGTGTGTTTTGTTTTTTGTTTTATAGAACATTTAGAAGATACAAATAGAAAAAGGAATCGTCTTTTATCTTCTGTTCAGAAATTACAGCTATTAAAATTTTGATGCATACATAACCCTTCTAGTTTTTGTTGTGTGCGAATGCAGAGATGTAGACATACACAGAATGCATTGTTTAAACAAACTATATGTAATGAACATTTTTCTATATCATTAGCTATTCCCTAACATATTAACAACTATATAATGTTTCGTTTAATGAGTGAGTAATAATGTATTTGGTTTCCTGTCAACATATAGGGCGCTTCCAATTTTCTTCTGTTTATGGAATGCATTTGGGAGAGCATCGTTACATTTCTTTTTTTTTTTTGCACGTTTAGGAAAACAAATCTCCAGCTACCTTTTGAGATATGGAATACCCACAATGAGACCTCATAGGCTCATGAAATAGTATCCTTTCTTTGCATACAGTCTCTTGGCTTTATTTGGAATAAAAATACGTCCAGTTTACTCCTTTTGATTTTGATACTAATAAATAAGACTTCTCTGAGTTTCATACTAATATTTAGTAGGTACATGTAGATTATGAGGACATGACTTTTTATGTGGGCCAGTATACTAATTTCTATATTATATTCAGGGGAAAATAAAGTCACATTTGTTATTGCCAGTTTTTTTAATTTTTTATTGCCAGAGTTGCCAGTAAATGTTTAAATGTTTTTCACCATCTACATGTAAATTTGTATTTAAGAATTTCTGTTTTCTGTAATATGTATTTCTATAATGTTAGTGAGCCAGTTTTTAATAATAAGTTTTAATGACCCATGTTTTAGGTGTAGTAATGCTTCTCCTTCCTTCCCTCCCTTTTTTTTTGTCTCACTTTGATTAGTTTGCTGCTATCTTTGCTTTTGCCACCTGTGGAGGTTATAAGGGCAAAACAGACATTCTAGTGAAATGTTCTCCTACAGATCCTGAGAATAAAACAGTTACAGCAACTTTCGCTTATCCATTCAGGTGAGTTGTTTGTATGGTTTAAGAACTCTTTTTACTTTCCTGTTAACTCATTAAGATTTCCAGCAATTAATCTTGGGGGTAGAAAATTTTAAATTGCATCCTCATTTGTAAATAGTGATCATTACTACTCAAACTGTGGTACATAGACTAGTGCCTGTCTGCAAACTTTTTTCCTTGTCTGTGGTGAAATAAGTATAGAAAATGGAAGTAAACATTTAGAAACTATCATTTGACATTTTATTTTACTGTTCCACAGTGGATTAGAAATTCAAAACCAGAATAGAGACTGCTCTATCACCATAGTGCGAGAAACCATGATGTGAAAGCAAACACAGCTTACAAGAACTCCAAATTTCTCATGTGTTTGCCATTCCTAAATAATAGTGTTCTTGATATAGTTTTAGGGCATGGATTTATATGAAGTGAGTTCCTGTGCTCCTTTTACCAGCATAAAACTTTAATTTTTTACTCCCAAATTAAAATGAATATTGTTTTTATGAATTCTTCTGTTTGACTTTAGTATTCATTAAACAGATTATTGAATAAGTCCTACGTTTAAGCCAGGGTATAAAGCTTTTTTCACTTACTAACTACTTACTTGACCTTCTAGGACTCAATTTTCCTGTCCAGTATAATGGAAAATTACCTTTTAAGGTGGTTTTGGTGATTAAATGAAATTTTAAATTAAAGCTATGTCAGATAGTAAGTGCTTAGTATCATTGCCTCTCCATTTTCCAACCCTTAATAAATTTCCTGTACAAGGGACTGGTACTGCATTTTTAGCAATAACTGCTCTTGTGATTAATGGATAGGGGAAATTAAAAGACAGTGTGAAGTTAACAGGTAATTAAATCCAGGGTTAAAATGTAAATTATTATAATTGGCTCTCCTGGTGCTAATCATACAGACTGTGTCTCCTAGAATGGAATATCATGTCTCAAATTGTAAATTATTTTGTATGAGCCGTCTTAATCTGCTAAAATTTTATTGCAGGAAGATAGTATCTGGGTTTGTATTTAAATTCCATCTGTATTCAACCTGTCACAAATCATTTACCATGTATAATTTATCTATGATTTATTAAAATTTTAATTCACTTAAATATTTGAATTTTTCCCTTTTTTTTCAAAAGGAAAATGCTTTTGGTATACTGGGTGAGGCACAAGTAGGTTTACAGCTGTGAGTACACAAAATACAGTTTATTCTTATTATTTATTAATTATTGTATTATTTTCCATGCAAACAACTGGAGACCACCTTTTGCCCCACCTGTATTAGAGGAGTAATTTTTGAAATGTCATTTCAATATTCTGTCTGTGTATTTCTGTCTCTTGGGAAAGTCCAGATAATTCATAAATGTATTTGAACTTTTTTAATAGGTTGAATCAAGCATCATTTAAGGCACCTCCAAGTGTAAATGTGTGTGATATAAATTGGAAACAGTATGTCCTTCTTGGAGATTACTCTTCTTCTGCACAGTTCTATGTTACGTTCGCAGTGTTTGTTTTCCTATACTGCATTGCTGCTCTTCTGCTCTATGTTGGTTACATAAACCTGTATCGGGATAATCGAAAACTTCCCATGATTGTAAGTAATTACTTTCTTTTTATACAAAAGTAATTTGTATAAAATAAATGTGCATTATATTTGAAGTAAAATACCAGTTTTCTTATACTGGAAATAAAAGTTTTTGGCATAAGCTAGTTCAACGTATTTTGACCTGTGTTTGCCATGAGCTTTCTCATGTTGTCATGTTTAAGCCAATTTTTTTTTTTTAAGCATGTTTGCAGCACTTTCTGTACTTTAGGGAGTGCTGAGGCTTATTTTCACCTGGAAAAATTCAAATACATAATAAAGCATATTAAGTTGTAAGAAGCAGAGAAAATAAGTAGAATTGCTGTCCATACTAGTAGTCTCATAACTGTGTTCCTAACTCTTAACCTTTTTCCTCTCTTCCCAAAGACCCCCTTTATGCCAATACACTGTCTTACTGAGTTAATAGTCAGGAATCAGCAGACCACAGCCCACAAGTCAAATCTAATTCGTTGTTTTTTGTTGTTGTTTTTCTTTTATATTTTATTTATTGATTTTAGGGAAGGGAGGGAGAGACACAGAAAGGGAGAGGGGTGGGGGAGAGAGAGAGAAACAAACATCGATTTGTTGTTCCACGTATTTATGCATTCATTGGTTGATTCTTGTATGTGTCCTGACTGGGGATTGAACCTGCAACCTTGGCAAATCAGGATGATGCTCTAAGCAACTGAGCTATCCGGCAAGGTCCTGACATTTTTGGGTTTTTTTAAATGTTGTTTTGAAACACAGCCATACTCCATCATTACATATTGTCTATGACTACTTTCATGCTTACAGTGGCAAAGTTAGGTAGTTGTAATATAGATCAAAAATACTTACTGTCTGGCATTTTTTCAGGAAGCTTGCTGACTCCTGGTCTAAATATCTTAATTTAAAACCTAATCCAGATAATTCTATAACAATTATAGAAGTCAGCGTTAGTTGCATTCATGAGCTAATTTGGTAACTTTAGATGGCAACAAGGATTTGGAATTGAAGTCCTAGCACCTTTCTTGGCTTCAGAGTCTGCTGAGCTAAAAATAGAAATAATCTCTTAATGTTTAGTTGGTAGAATCTGCCCTGGATTATTGGTTGCAGATTGAGAGGTAATCCATGGTTTTAAGCTGGACCACCACAACAGAAAAATAAGTACAAAGGCAGTAGAAGTACTAGAAAGGAAAGGAGAACAGAGGTGTTACTGGTCATCTCTAATTATCTATGAAGTAAATTATAAAATAAGATAACAGGTTTTATTTATCTATTTTTAATTTTTGCTGCCTGGATCATAAGAATACAAATGGTAAGTAAGGAATAAAACAATCTTTTTTCATCCATATTTACTTATTTCTTATATCTGAGAAGAGATTCTTAAACCTGACATTTTCATAAAATATTTTTTGGTGGTTAGGTGCCTTGCAAAAAAATTAGACATTACCTATTTGCAATGCTTAATAAACCAAAATTACATATTAGGACTCTCTAATAGATTCCTAATCAATTACATAAAAAGTCTTCTGTAGACTTTTATGCCGTATCTAAAAAAACTACGATGATCAGATATTTTGTTAAAATTTTTTATAATTTAAATTCTAAATGAAGACATTTCTTGCTGTTATGTCATTATCTCAACAAATTTTAAGTTAAATTTAGCAGCGAGACTTTTATTTCTCATATTTTGTTTAGAAATCTTAAAAATGACCACACTTCTAAAAGCAGCATTCAAATCTATTTTTTGGTAGAAGGTTTTTCTGTCTAATAAAACTGAAAAACTGATCTAGTTGCACCATTCAAAAAGTCAAGTAATTTTTCACCTCAGAGTGACCAATTAGTGATAATATAGAGAATCCAGAATTAGTTCCTTAACTGGTTTTTATTGATATAATATTGTGTTGGCCAAAAAGTTTGTTTTTTCTGTACAATGGCTCTAGTAGCACTTAGTTGTCTTCACTTCATTCCAAACAATTTTGTTAGATTGTTTTGTGACAGCTGTCATATCAACGTGCATTTTAAAAAAATCAAAATTGGTGATTTTTTGCGTAGCCATTTTGGTATTGAAGATGGAAGAAAATATGTAATAACATTTTTTGGCATATGGTGTTCTAGTATTTCAACAAAGGTAAAAACGCAACTGAAACGCAAAAAAAGATTTGCGCAGTGTGTGAAGAAGATGCTGGGACTGATCAAACTTGTCCAAAGTGGTTTTTGAAGTTTTGTGCTGGAAATTTCTCGCTGGATGATTCTCCGCAGTCAGGTAGACCAGATGAAGGTGATAGCGTTCAAATCAAGACATTCATTGAGAGCAATCTTTATACCATTAACTAGGAGATAGCCAATATCCCCAAAATATCCAAATCAATAAAGTTATTGGTAAAAATGAAAAATGTCTTTTATTTTACAGAAAAAAACCACATGAACTTTTGGGCCAATCCAATATAAAATAGATGCTTCATGTCTGTAAAAGTCCAGCTTCTAAATTAAATTTTGAATTCTAATTTTAATTTAAACATATAAATGTAAAAAAAGTTTTGAGGCCCAAATTTTTAAATATAATTAAATATGACTTTTTTTAAAGTACTGTTTGTTAATGAGGATATGCTTTTATTTTAGCAAAATTCTTAATCCTCTACTAAGGTATATCTAGGACCTTTTCAATTATTTTGAATTAACTTTAGTTCCCTTTTTAAGCAAGTGCAGTGCTTTTTTTGTATTGAGCAGCAGAAACTTAAGGGCTCTAGACCATATGGAGAATCAGAAATACATAAAACAAAATCAAACAGAGATAGGTTGTCTGAAATCCTAAAACGGAATCATATCCTGATTATTGGTAGGACCAGAGCTGCCACAGGCAGCTGCAGGTTGTGAACTGCAGAACTCCAGGTATGCATTGTGAGTTAACTAGAGTTCTGAATAGGACAAAGACTGTTTTCAGAGCCCCACATTACCTCACCCTAGGATTACTTTGTGCATCATTTTGAGAAAAGTTTTTGATGTCTAAAAATGTGATAGGTTAACCCATCAGCAAAGTAGGTTTAAAGAGTATAATCAGGAAAGGGGCGGGGGAAAGGGCATGTTGTTTAATTAGGAATTAGGAAGGAAGAACCCTGAAAATTAAGATGATTTGATATATATTGGTCAAAGCTGTGAACTTTAGCCCAGAGATAACTTTTTTAACATGTAATAACCTCATACATACTATTTATTAGTTCTCCAAAAGGCATTGTATTTCTAGCAAGTGTTTAAGAAATGTCTACCTGCAGCAATAAGTACAGCAGCAAAAAGGAAAGGACTTCCTCAGTACAGAAATTTAAGTTGTAGTGTTTCTGTCCTTTTCTCTTTGATCTGCATTGTTTAAGAGGACCAGTAACAGTGGAGAGTTCAAATGCAAAATGCAAATACCTCCATATTTGTAATTAATCATATTGTTTTCGGTTTTCTAATTACAAGGCATTTATTCAATGTCATCTGGGCCAGGTAAACAAGCTACATGTAGCAGTTTCTATATCTCATAAGTGGTCACTGATGTTTATCCTACATAACTAAGAGCTGGCTGGCAAAAGTAGTTAAACACTAATCAGATTCTTTTTAAGAACAGAACACTTCTGTGATACACTCCACAACCCATTCCTGAGTTTGGAGAGAGCTTTGCTGCGGTTGTGTATGAACTCATAGCCTTGAGTGTAGCTTAATACATAAATAACATTAAAACATACAAATTTTACATTATTCCCACTTCGATCATTAAAGGGAAATCAAACAAGGTGGGACTTATACTTTATATTATACAAATGCATATTTTAAAAAGTGGATTTTAGATCTTTGTAACATTACTAGTTGACAAAATTTTAGTTTTCCAACAGAATAGATTAAGAATATTTTTTTCTTCATTCATGTTATTAGTTCGATAAGAAACTATCCAAAATATTAAAAACTTCAGTCCTATTTTTAGAAATGTAAGAAGTAGCAAAGATTTAGTAGAAAATTACTAGGGTAAGGTATTTTTAGAGAAATTTCTTTCTTGTTCCTATTATAATGAGCATTCTTAAAATTTTGTGGTCATGAATTTAAACAGACAAACCTTCGGGATACGTGCTTTTCACCAGTTCATTGTCCATGTCACAGAGAATTAGATTGAACTGAAATTAGTTTTGCCAGAACAATATGCAAGAGATTATAAGCAAAGACCTTAGAATATAAATTAAGGAGGGAAATGAGAGCATATGTGAAGCTGAGAGACAGTAAACAAGAGGTAAGAACAGATTGTAGGTTTCAGTGGGGTCAGTAGGTATTTTTGAGGTTGGGGTGCCAGAGAGAGGGAATGGGAAAAAGAAGTGATATTAGGGACTAAGATTATTGAAATAGAGATTATGGAGGGATAGTTATTGTTGATAGCAGGGTCTAAGGTATGATCATGGGAGTGAGTGGTTTAGGAACGATTGTGATAAGGGTTATGTAAGACTTCGATTTCTAGTGTAAATATTTTTTACTCCTAAAGAGATGATTAAGTCTTATGTAGTGTTGTAGCTCAGGCACTGGGCTAGTAATAATAAACAGCAATGTTTAATATGTTGACTGTGCCCTTTTCTATCAAGTATATCATGAAGGCCAATTCTCAGTGCCTTGGGATTCAATGTAAACTCATTTCCTTCATTAGAGATTTAAATTTAGTATTTTTTAATTAACTGTTCATTATTAATTCATACTTCTTTTTACTTTAGGACTTCGTTGTTACTATTATCGCCACTTTCTTGTGGCTAGTGAGCACTTCAGCCTGGGCTAAAGCTCTTACAGATATTAAAATAGCTACTGGTCACAATATTGTCCAGGAACTTGGACCCTGTAAAAATGTGACGTGTTACTTTGGCTCTGTGACTAGTATGGGATCCCTAAATGTATCTGTGGTATGTATGCAGTATTTATAAAATATTTTATTTTACTTATTTGAAAAACCTTACTCATAATTTAAGAAAACAACAGCTTTTAATGATTTATGGATGTGTTGGTTTTTATTGTTATTAAGCTGTCAGAATTCTGGTCACCATATAGCCTTTACCTTTATAACAACGAAGAAAAGTGTGTTACGAAAATTAGTAAACAGGTTTGAATAAGATCATAATTGAGTCTTTTCATTGAAATTGACTAGACAAGACTTACCTGAAAGGTATTTATAATAGTCACTAATATTTATTAAGTCTATATGCCAAGAATTATACTAAGGACATTAGACTCATCTTAAATTATCCAGCAATCCTAAGAGGAATGTGGGAGGTGGTATTATTTTCTTCATTTTTACAACTGGGAAAAAATGTAGCTCGTTACTTCACCCAGATTGGCATAACTAGTAAGTTGGCAAGCCAACGTTTGAACCACACTTTAGAGCTTGTTCTTTAATCTGACTCTCTGAGTCTATTTAATACCATAAAAGTATTAAATAACCTAAAAAGGTAGGTCTCTGTAAATTTATGTATTCTTTAGTCTTCTATTTTATGAAAATACAGATAAATATAATATTCATAGAGAGAATATGTTATGTTTAGACAGGTCTCATGTCTTTTCAAGAAAGTGTTGGATGAAGCGAGCACTGCCTTATAAACCAGTTTGGCCAAATTTGTGCTTTATTAACGTTGTAATTGAAAAGTCGCTTTTTAAAAATATGTTGATAATATCTGAGACAGTTAGAGAAATTTTTTGTATGCAAATATACAAAAAGATAGAAAGCATTTGGCCTTCAGTAATATGATAGTTTAAAGCTTCATACCCCACTCTTCATTCTTTTTTTATAAATAGAAGAACATACTACATTTCTTTTATATACAAAAATTGATAATAAGGTAGCTTCAGTTTACTCATCTCTGAGACTTCCATCTTGTCAGATTTATATCTGGGAAGACTAATTTCTTTTAGGTTGACTAATGTGAGGTGGGAAATAAAAGTTATTCTGACTCCTTTTCTCCTCTGGCTGCAGCTGTTGGAGTAGAAAAGATGGTAGGTAGTAGGAGGGGGAGAAAGTGGGAAAATAGGAAAAAATACACAAAGGCAGTTTAAAAGGAGGGTTTTAGTTACTCTTTCAAATTTAATCCCATTTTTTAAAATAAAGAGCATGCAAAAACTAAATGTCTTTTAGTCATGGTTTTATATATTACAGATTTAGAGATTTAGCTTTATTTCATTGGGAATAATGAATTTGATGTTGAAATGTAAAGTCTTCCTTTTTTATTCTACTTCATGTGTAGTTTAAACTTTAAATGCTATAACCGTATACTGCCTGGAAATGTTAAATATTTAAAGGAAAACTAAGATGGCTCTGAATTTTTAAGAAGATATTAGACCTTCCTGTTTATTTTTCTCTTTCTTAGATCTTCGGCTTTCTGAATATGATACTTTGGGGAGGAAATGCCTGGTTTGTGTACAAGGAGACCAGCTTACACAGTCCATCAAATACTTCTGCTTCCCATAACCAAGGAGGTATTTCACCTCCTTCCGGAATGTAATTGAAGGGAGAAGTACACTGTTTGAAATGTACATCTGTACTATGACCTGTTGCCAACATCTTGAGACACATTATTTGTTTCTAAAAAAAGTAATGGCTTTTTCAATAAATTGGTGGGTTTAAAATTTTGCTGCTTTTTTTACATAAAGCCTGTGCCTTTCCTAGAAATTTACAATGTAAATGTATTCTCACATGTAAATTTGAAAATTCAGGGACCTATTATGGGGTGATATATTTTTAAATGAACATTAATTTCTTCACTAGGTTGTTTACACCTTAAGCTTTAAAATATATGTTCACTCAGAAAAGAGTTATATTGTCATATTAGGAGGAAAATCTCTATTTGGAATATACACTACTGTCAGTTTGTACAGATCATATAGCTATGACCTATCTGGTTAAGAAAGCCTTGGTTATATAAATCATATTTAGAAATAAACATATTTAGTTCAGAATTTCAGAATTTATATCTGAACATTGTTTATATATTATGAAAACTCTTAATTGCAAAGACTGGGTATGTGTTTTATTTCTTTTTTTCTAAATGACCTTCAGTACTTAATAGGTATGCTAAAATGTTTTGGGAGTGGGGGTTGAAAATTTCTAATAGATACATAGTTAATTTAGTAATTCTGTCACACAAGATGTAAGGTACCATTATGCTGAGTGTTTAATATAATAGACTTGCTATATAAGTAGAAATAACATGGTTCAATGAAACATTTTGATATGTATGGGCATTACTCTGTGGTATTTGTTTCCTGTCCCTTTGTTGCTCATACCACTTAAGTGCAGGTTGAGACCTGTTCTCCTTGAAAGTAGAATAAAATACTTCATCTTTTTTTTTTTCCAGACCCTCCTTATAAATTTAAAAAACTAAGATTGCGTTTTACTTTTGGAACATTTAACATTAGTTTCGATGAAGTTGCTATTTTGAATTTAGCATTGATATTGTGATAATAAATGCAACTCAGATTTCATGTTTCTTAATGTTCATTCTTATTTCACAAATGGGTAATTAAGGAATTGTGCATCGTAAGGAACCTTTGATATTTTTTAATCTGATTGCTCTTGAGGTTTGTGATCTTTCTTTGTGTTTATTGGCCACTTAGGTTGCTCCTATTCTGTATAGCCTGTTCATCTTCATGGTTTGTGCTTTTTGTGTCTTTAGGTATATTCTGAATTCAGGGCTTATTCATATTCTGCTTCTTAATCTTTTTTGTTGTACAGGGCCAGATTTCCTATTCTGACCACTTGATTGTTTATTTGTGAAGCACATCTTGCTATTGCCTTATTTTTGTTGATTTTATTCATGACAAGGATTGTCAGTATGAGAATATATCTTTTATGCAACCAACTTAATAAAGAAGTTAAAAGAAAGAATGCACTGATTGTTATATTCCAAAGAAACCTTCATCTTAAAGGTATGAGCAATGCAAAATGGAATTAATTTCCAAAGCAAGAAATAAAATATCACAGTAGTTTTTTTACAACATTTAGCAAGGAATAAGAGAGACAAAAAATGCTTTGGAGACCCTAGGTGTATCCCTTTCTCTTGTAATCTCATTTTAAGAATTGTTTTGTAACTTTCAGGTCAAATTTTCTTGTTTTCTTTATAAACCTTTTCTAATTGACTGTTCATTCCCTTAGACCCCAAGCTTCTTTATTGTGTATGCTATGGAGCCAAACTGAAGTTTAATCTTGGCTTCACCATGTTTTATCTAATTAACTGTAAGCAAATTACTTACCTTCTGTGTGCCTAAATTTGCTTATTTCAGAAATGGGAATAAGGCCCTGGCTGGTGTGGCTTGGTGGATTGAGCAACAGCCTGCAAACCAAAGGTTCACGGGTGCCATTCCCAGTCGAGGTACATGCCTGGGTTGTGGGCCGGGTCCCCAGTAGAAGGCACACAAGAGACAACCACACATTGGTGATTTTCTCCCCCGCTTTCTCCCATATTTCCCCTCTATAAATAAATAAATAAATCTTTTTAAAAAATGGGAATAAGAATACTGCTGACCTAAAAGAGTATTGGTAAGAAGTGAGCTAATAAACATGAAGCCCTTAGAAACAGTGTTGAGCATATAGTAGGTTGTTTATAAGTGTTGACTAAGATTACTAGCTTGTTAGCATCTAATATACAGACTCTTAACCTGGAATCCGTGGGGCTGGACAGGGGAAGCATGGTGGTCTTGGACAGAAAGGCAAGATGAGCTTCAGGATTACCTGGGTCTCCTTTTATATTCCCCAAAGAGCCTGGAATGTTGTGATGTTTATTTTAGTATTTATTTTTCCATTTGTGGTAGATATACATAAAGTTAATGACATTAAAAGTTAAACTAGCCCTGACCGGCTTGGCTCAGTTGGGCATCGTCTTGCAAACCTTAAAGGTCGCTATCACTTCTTGGTCAGAGCACATACCTGAGGTTGCAGGTTCAGTCCCTGGTTGGGGCACATGCAAGAGACAAGTGATCGTTTTGTTTTTGTTTTTCCTCTCTCACATCAATGTTTCTCTCCTGTTCTTCCTCCCTCCCTTTGCCTCTCTCTAAAAATTTTTTTTTAAAAATTTTAAGTTAATAGCTATTGAGATCACAGTAAGTCTAGAAAAGAGTTATTTTGTTGCCTTTTCACTCCCTTATTTTGATTCAGCATTACAGGATTAACCAATTTCAGGATAATTTCCAGCACAGAACAAAGCAATAAAAGCTTTGAATTTATTGGTGACAGATTATAAAGAATTACTTATAAACAGCATCATTACTAATGTCTTTGTGAATTGACATCAATTGGATAATGATACTTAAGATAATTACTAACCTGCTATAAATGTTAAGGACAATATTGCTTGTTATGTAGTTTATATGTCACAATTTTTAAGTTTATGTAGAATTTTAAACAGATAAGTATAAGCAAAAATATATAAAGACCCTACCACTAAGTTGAACAAATATTAATACTTTGGGGCTTTTTGTGTCAAATTGGCCTTGATTTTGTCTTTTTAAGGAAATAACATATTGCAGGTATAGCCTTTTCCTTATTGAAGTACAGTTAGATTTTTCTCACCTTTCAATGTTATAAGTAGCATTGAAATAAATATTTTTGTTAACTATGTCTTTTCTAGGACATCACTAGTACAACTGTCGGAATGCAAGATACAGTTGTAACTTGGGTATTACAAAATTGTTCAATAAAGTGCTTATACCAATTTACTCTCCCACCAACAAGATATGAGCCCCTGTTGCCCCACATCCTTGCTAATACTTGATGTTATTGCACTATTGCCAGTCTTCTGGGTTTGAAATAGTGTTTGATGTTTTTTAATTTGTATTTCTCTAATTCCTATTGAGGTTGTGATCGTTCTCTGTGTTTATTGGCTGTTTAGGTTCCTCCTATTCTGTATTGCTTTGTTCATCTTCATGGCTTGTGCTTTTTGTGTCTCAAGAAATCTTTCTTAATGTCATAAAAATGAGCATGTCTGTTTTCTTCTGAATATGTTAGTTTTGCTTTTTACTTTTAGGTCTTTTAAGCCAGTGAATGTAGGAATGGAGAAAGCTGACAGAATGATTTGCAGTTGGGTTTCTAGGCAACAAAGTAGGAAATACTGGCATGAGGGTAGAGTAGTAGGGAAGAAAATGAAACCAGAGAGATGGGGGACTAAGAAGGAGACCAACCAACAATTCTGGTAAACTCAAAGAACAGGTACAGTGGGAATTATCAGAATAAGAGGACTGAAAAAAATGGCTGATTGTGATCAGAATTCAGAGGGGCAATGGAGGTAGAGGTGGAGGGTATGGTTATGGAGGTGAGGGAATAAAGTAATGGAGACAGGAAAAGCAGAGTACTCCCCAGGTTCTCGAGAATGATCGTGTGATTAACGCCATACTCATTTATTGGAGGTCTCTACTAGGGTCACAACATAGAGCTTCCTCCTCATTCTTACCAATAGATACTCTAAAAAGACAAACTTACATAAATCTACTCTTGAAACAATCTAGCAAAGGTCAGAATAGCCTTAATATTCCTCATATGGGATAATGGCTTGAAACTCCCTTCTGTAATTACAGAAAAAGCTATTGTTTCAAGTCTGTCAAGAAGTAAAGGATCTACATGGTGCTTTTTGTCAGTATGAAGCAATGCTACTCAAACTTTAATATGCATACACATCACCTGAGGAACATGTTAAAATGCAGATTCTGGCTCAGTAGGTCCAGAATGAGGCCTAAAATTGTACATTTCTCCTGGCTCCAAAGTGATGCAGATGGCTGCTAATCAGATTAAGTATTTTCCTCTCTAGCCCTGACTGGAGTGGCTCAGTGGATTGAGTGCCAGCCTGCAAACCAAAGGGTCGCCGGTTTGGTTCCCAGTGAGGGCACATGTCTGGGTTACAGGCCAAGTGCCCAGGATGGGGTACACAAGAGGCAACCAGACATTGATGTTTCTCTCCCTCCCTTCCCCTCTCTAAATAAAGAAAATCTTTTTAAAAAAACTTTTCCTCTCTAAAAACATGATCATCAAAAGCATGGCCCATTTGGAAGTGATATTGCCCAAAGGAAATACAGCTTCAGCAGAACCGATGATGAATTTGTCATTTTCATTTCCTGGGATTATTATGATGGCTAACGGAATGTGGTAAATACCCAAAGATCATCAGGTTGTGACAGGGAATCAAACTGAAATGGATATAGTTAGTTTATGTCTACTACCGTAAGTTAATTTAGCAAAGTTGCTGCATACAGGATCAATATAAATTGTTTCTACATAAAATTTAAATGGCATTAAAAATAACTACTTAGAGGTAAATCTGAAAAAGTACAAAGTGTACACTGAAAACTGCTGAGAGAAGTAAAACCTATATAAATGGAGAGTCGTACTATGTTCATGAGTCAGAAAACACAGTATTAAGATGTCAGTTCTTCCCAAACTGATATACAGATTCAGCACAATTCCAATAAAAACCCCAATGAGCTTTTAAAAAAAAAATTGACAAGTGGATTATAAAATACATAAGGAATGCAAAAGATCTCCAAGAACCAAAATAACTTGAAAAAGTTGTAGGACTAACTGCTTTCAAGACAAAGCTACAGTATTAGTGCAGTATTAGCATCAAGAAATAAAGCTACAGTAATAGTGCAGTATTAGCATCAAGATAGGCAAATAGATCAATGGGACAAAATATAGTATATAAATTAGCTTGCACATACATGGTTAATTTATTTTTGTACAAAGTTACATAGTTCGATGGAGAACAGCTTTTTAAGAAATGGTTCTGTAAACATTATATAACCAGATAACAAAAACAAAAACCTTTGATCAATTCCTTAGCACCACATATGAAAATCAACTCAAAATGGTACATAGTTCAGCCCTGGCCTGGAGGCTTAGTAGGTAGGAATGTCTACCCACATCCTAAGTTGCAAGTTTGATCCCCATTCAGGGTGCCTGCAGGAGGCAGCTGATCGATGTTTCTCCCGTCCTCTTTACAATCAATAAACATACCCTCGGGTGAGGATTAAAAGAAAATGGAACATGGTTCAAAATGTAAAACCTGAAACTGTAAAAACTTCTAGACAAAAGATTTATGACTGGGTTGTTCAACGATTTCATAGATACATAACAAAAGGACAATCCCTAAGGATAATTTGATAAATTGGAATCCCAAATTTAAAATGTCTACTCTTTCAACAGACAGATCAGTGGAACAGAATACAAAGCCCAGAAATAAACCCCTGTCTCTATGGTCAATATTTGACAAAGGGGGCAGAAGCATAAATTGGAGTAAAAATAGCCTCTTTAACAAATGGTGTTGGAAGAGCAGGACAGCTACATGCAAAAAATTGAAATTTGATCACCAACTGACACCATACACAAAAATAAATCCAAGGTGGATAAAAGACTTATTAAGTCGCAACACCATAAAAGTCCTAGAGGAGAACATTGGCAGGAAACTCTCAGATATCCCACACAGCAACATTTTCACTGATATGTCCCCTAAAGCAAGGGACATAAAGGAAAGAATAAACAAGTGGGACCTCATCAAAATAAGCTTTTGCATGGCTAAAGAAAACATCAGCAAAATGAAAAGGGAACCAACCATATGGGAAAATATATTTGCCAATAATACATCAGATAGAGGTTTGATCTCCAAAATATATAAAGAATTCACATGACTGCACTCCAAGAAGACAGACAATTCTATTAAAAAATGGGCAAAGGACCTGGGGCAGATACTTCTCCAAGGAAGAGATACAGAGGGCCCAGAGACATATGAAAGGATGCTCAGCATCATTAGCCATCAGAGAAAGGCAAATTAAAACCACAATGAGATACCACTTCACACCGGTCTGAATGGCCATCGTAAACAGATCAAGAGACAACAGGTGCTGGCGAGGCTGTGGAGAAAAGGGAACACTAGTACACTGTTGGT